GGACAAATAATAAACAATCAGGGAGCAGGAACAGGAAGACCAAATGGGGGCATGGAAACATAAACATGTGACAACTATCAACTAGATGTTGTTCCCTCAATATGATCTCATGGCCACTACATATTATCACGTTCCCACGAATTAATATCTCGTGGCCACGACAAAACTAAACCAAAAAAACTCAAGCTTCATTTTTTTTAAACTTACAGTTACAGTCATTTCTTAATTTATGCCAGGAGTTATGTAAATGAAAAACGAAGTCGAGATCGATATGAAGCTTGAGTTGTAGACCTTTTAAACAACTTATTTAACTTAAGCAAACGCTGCTAATACACATATACATTTGTTAATAAAGTGAATAAAACGAAAACATGCATGTTCCAATGCTAGCGAATAAAAGGAAACGATCCACCCGCACGCCTCTGCTCAATGACGGTGCCTGGATCAGTGAGCTGCGTCTCGGGCTGATGACATCACTTCCAGGGAGGCATGCCCAGGCCTGTTGTACACGCCCCCGTCCCTTGACTCCACCCCCATGTCAAAACAGTGCCAGAAAGTGAGACGCGCATAAACGGGAAGCGCAAAGGGAAAAACGGTATCACAAGCTCAAACTTGTCTGAAACTCAAATTAAAAGCAGCGTTGCAAATAAATGAGTAGATATGGCCATGGAAAATATGTATTGCAAAATCATTGCTTTTGCGCTGTTTTATTTATATTTTGCAATTCTTTATTTTTGTTTGCAAAACTTATTTTCTTCTTGCAATACTTCATTTTATTTTGCAATTCTTTATTTTTGTTTGCAAAACTTATTTTCTTCTTGCAATACTTCATTTTATTTTGCAATTCTTTATTTTTGTTTGCAAAACTTATTTTCTTCTTGCAATACTTCATTTTATTTTGCAATTCTTTATTTTTGTTTGCAAAACTTATTTTCTTCTTGCAATACTTCATTTTATTTTGCAATTCTTTATTTTTGTTTGCAAAAAGCACATTTATTTTTTTCTCAATACTTTCATTTTCGTTTGCAAAACTTTATTCTTTTGCATATATATGTGGCATTATATTGATTCCATAGATGTAGTGATGGTATTGGCAGTGGGGGTGTTTGGAACAGTGTGTATGAGTTGAAATGACATCAGCTCAGCACAAAGACAGTGGTGTGATGAGACGTTTAATCACTGCTTTTTTTCAAATATTTTTGAGTCACCAAGAGCTGGTCAAGAATATTAGCATTTGATTTTTAGTCACAAAACCACAAATCTTTATTTATATAAACAATATTTTTTAAACTCTTTAAAAGTCTACTATCCTGTTGGCAAACAATCATTTATACAGGCACAGCACAGATGCTGTTAGATAAGTACCTGTGTAAAGAGCCAGTACAATTCAAGGTGTGGTTTCTGAGTTTTTCGGTGCTCTAAGAAGTTTGCCTGCTAACAGATCGGGAGGAATAAAGATCCATCTGTTATATAAGTCCATCATCAGGTTTATTAAATATTTATGTGTGCATTCTGAAGAATGCCTTTGCTTTAGCCCTTATCAGAATGAGAACCGCACCAAGAAGCTTCTGCATTCGCTCAGCCCTTCAGTCATTCTCACACACTCATTTTCATATGTCATTATTTTTAGTGAGTGATAATTGTAGCTAGTGTGGTATTCTGTAAATCGTTCCATATTCACATTAGATTTATTTTTAAAACAGTAAAAACTATTTGTGCAGTGTAAAAAAAGACATTTCCCTGACTAATGGCCAATATATAAACACTGACTATGTCCAAAGGATAGTACTAATATATCTATCATATTAAAAATAAATTATAAATATAAAATATATTCCTATTTGGATTACAGGGTTAGGGTTAACTGTTGAAATGGCTTGTTTAAGCACTGAAATATGAGTAATTAATTTTTCTTAGAAAATTAATTCAGTGATTTTTCATTAACGTTATTTTTGCATACAGCATGGAAATGAGAAACTCGTTCAAGTCCATTTCTGGCACTGAAAACATATGGGAAACTGCCTCTCCATTATAAGGAATATCTAGGTTTAATTGAATATATTGTTAGACCCAGGTAATGAGAACCATTCATTAGACTAAGTCCACCATAGAAAATAATTTTTACATTTACAGAATGGTAATTAATGTCGAACTGCTTTATTCATGTTCATATGTCAGGTTGAGAAAAATATCAAGTTGAGGACAACAGAAAAGGGTGTTAAATTCAAGGTGCTATGTCACAAAATCAATCATACAGAACCTTCAAAGTGAAGCCTCATGATGAATGATGTCAGTACTGAAAGAGATGGAGTCTTTTTATATTTCTATATTAAAACCCGCATGTAATATTTTTTAGAAACCTTCAGTGAAAACCACGTTTGAATCCTAAAGCTACATATGACTAATATCAATTCTTTTGAGAACAGAATATCATCCATGCATATTCTTTCACATTTCTGCTTTTTTCCCCCCAACTGATTATGACAATTAAATAAAACCATCACAGAGGTTTTCTCAAGGCCGGCCGTGACAAACCTCCAGCCCAGCTGCCCCTCCCTCCCACACTCCCTCCGCAAAGTGTGTTGAAATGAGGCCTGATGAAAAGTCTATGGCGGGTGTGAATAATTCATTAATCATAAATTACAGCGCATGCCTCCCTGTAGGGGTAGTTATTTCACACCAGCTGTTCTGTAGCCTCCTCCTGTGCAGAAAATTAAAGAGAGGCGGTATCCTCAACCGTCCGCCGTCCGCCATCCACCGCGTCTCAGCACAGTCCACCTCTGTCAGAGCTTTTATCATGACATCTTGTTCTTCGATACAAAAGAAACAGAACTGTGTGTTTTCTTTGTTACACCCGATCGATAACTTCATTCAATATCTGCACACAGCACGACTGGCCCCATAGGGCTCCCTGCGAGAATTTTATGTGTGAGCCATAAAGCAGCTGTTTTTTGTTTATTAACAGGTCTGTGAATAAACAGACCTGTTTATTCACAGTGAAACAAAGTACTAAGTGAAACTAAAAAGAGCTGACGCTGAGAAAAAGTCCTATATTTCTGATGTCACACATAAGTGATTTAAAAATAAAGTCAGGGATCAACGCTAAGGATTTTTTCTACTGGCCCGGTACCACAGCAAAAATGACTAGCCAAAAATAAACATAAATATAAAGTTTAAACATTATTAAAGACAAGTGACAGCCAGTAAATAAAAACAAATGAACAAATTACAAGTAATAGCACAATTAAATATAGGCCTATAGCACAAAGATGAATGACATGATGCATTTTTCATATCCATTTGAAATTAGAAGCAGCCACTGCATTTTAATCATGAATTGATCAACAAAAAAAAAAAAAACAATACATGTGCAATGTTTGATTTTTATTAGACTGTATAATTTAAAAAATCTGAAGCAAAAACAGAGTGGTCTGACTTTAGCTTTGTGAAATTATGCTACATAAAACACATCTAACTTCACAGTCTCTGGCCTCTGTTAACGTCCGTTTACAGACTAATTATAATAATAACAACGTAATATTTCCACACAAATGGCTTTTGGGAAAATGATTGCAGTGCAGTTTGTGTGCAAGCACGGAACTATGGAAGCCCATTTCCGCCACTGAATAAAAAATAAAAAAGGTGAGTTTTTATCTCGCAATTGTGACTTTATATCTCGCAATTCTAACTTTATAACTCCCAATTGTGAGTTTTCATCTCGCAATTGTGACTTTATATCTCGCAATTGTGAGTTTATATCACGCAATTCTGAGAAAAAAAAGTCAGAATTGTGAGATAAAATGTCGCAATTACCTTTTTTTATTTTTTATTCAGTGGCGGAAACGGGCTTCCGTACGGAACAGAAGATAGTCTGAAATCAAACAAAAAACGGGCGGTCGATCGGTGCATCTGTACTCCACTGTATAAATTAAATATAGATAATCATTGTTAAAGCTGCAAAGTTACTTGCCAAGAGGGGCATTTTGACATACTTTTGTATGTATTTGCCAGTTCAGGCGGCTCGCGCGTGTCAGAGACGCGGCTGTCTGTGTGACTATGGGCTTACATTTCTGCCACAATTCTGTGCGCGAAAGATCATAGGGTATGAATACATTCGCAAGGCACTGTAGCTGTCTTTCGCACACAAATGCTTTTTAATCACTTTAATTTTTAAATGAACAAGGCTTAAAAACACATGCAAATTATAACATTTCGTGACGATGCTGCAGTGGCCCGATCGGGCAAGTGACAAATCCACTTTTGGATGCTGGCCCCGGGCCATCGGCCAGAACTTATTGTCGAGCCCTGAAAGTATTTTCTTGTACCTTTCAGTTAATATAACATGGCTCTTAAAAAATAATGTTTTTAACAAAAAGAAAAAACAAACTGAACACCACAAAACTCTCTAAAGTCCTTTAATGTGATTTATATATAAAGAACAAAGAACAAAAGCTTTCATAGGTCTTAATATTTTATTTATTCATTTGATTTTTCAAAACTATTTTTTCATAATAAATCTTCACTTTGAGGTCATCAAAGAATTGTCACAATAAAAACAAAAGAAGGTATTATAGAAAAATTGTACACAAATAAAAAACACACAAAAACAAAAAGCAACATTTTATTCAGAATGTCATATATTTTATACCTCTTGTACATTCCACACAGTACAAGATGGCAGAGAGAAGAATGTTTGCAAACACTTTTGAAGGGTTGTTTTTGCTATCTTTGTGCTTTTTAGCTATAATCCAATATTCAGTTTTGGGGGACTGAATTCATTTGTTACTTTTTGAGATTATGATATTGTCTCTCAGTAGACTCGGAGTCCTAAATACCATGCATAATTTGTTTGGTCACTAAGACAAGCAAGAGGATATTGCTTAAACAGTCCAAAATCTTATTTTCCACATGTCTGTTTGCTTTCCAAAACCTATACTCATACTCGTCTTTCAATGTTGACACAGCAAAAACATAAAAAAAATTAAAAGAATAAAAAATTAAACAAAAAAGGAGTATGTCAAAAAGAACAGATGTTGGAGATGCACATAAAGGGGGGGAAATAAAATCTGTATAGCTAATGGCAGAAACGGTTCTATCGCTATAGCAACACATTAACATTTAATTTTCTGTTTTTCATTTGTTTTCACCTTGGTTTTTTCTAAAAAAAAAAAAAAAAAGTTTGAAGAGCAGGTATACTGTAGTTGGCATCATCTATATAACAGGCTATAAAACACCACTTCAGCCACAGTCCAGAGAGCACACAGATAGTCTTTGCACCGTATATAAACATGTAATAAGATACTTTACGTGCATGGAGATTTTCCTCAATCTATCCCGAATGGCCCTGGTATTCCTTGTCGTCATCTGTCATCGTTTTGACAAACATACAAACAGAAGAAAATCCATCAACCTTTACACTTGGATTGATACTTAAGGCCTCCACAATTCTCTTTGACACCAAGGGTTCTGTCCACCGAATGGAAATCAGTTCGGATCCCACAAGGAGCAGTCCTTTCTCATCCAAACGCGCAATACTGCCATCAGAAAAGGGAGTCAAATACTTTGGCTGATTTAACAATCATAGGTAGTAGCATCTCATTTTTAAGTCCTTCGTTCCTTTTCCGGCCGTCCCATCGGTGAATGTCTGTTTGAATTGTTGCAGATGGTTTGTCTGGCTTTAGAGGGAAAATGTTCTGGCATCACATATACAGGCAACATAATATGAAATACACTTAATTCTAACCAGCGGCCTTGTCTCTCAGTGATCCACAACTGTAGTGACTACGTGGAGTCTTCTTGCTCGGTTCTGTTTCGTTTTGTACACACTTTTCAGCTTAGTAAAGTTCTGGTGTGCTTGGTTATAACGTATGTTTTCTTGTTGTTAGTAACAGTATATTGTGTCTTAGGTCAAACTAAGACAGTTTTGTCTTTTTCAATGTATTTTTTTCTCAATTACTATACACAGGTGGATCTCCCTCCCCTTTTGCGTGTGAGTTCGGAGCACAGGATCTGTGGGTGGGTTGTAAGGGGGGGAGAAAGTCTGTGAGATCAGACGTAGTACTCCTTGTCCTTGTTCTTTTTATCTTTTTTATTTTTGGGCACGCCAATTGGCTTTTCTTTGACGGCGGCTCCGTTGGGCTGTGTGGCGGAATTACTAATGTAGTTACGGCTCTCATCCACGTGGTACGAGCCCTCGTCGCGATTTCGGTATTTGTACATGGCATAGAGCAGGATTAGGATGCAGAGGGCGGCTGCTGCGACAATGCCTACGACCATGCCCGTGGTGCTGCTAGACTCCCGAATCACCTCCGGGCTGGGGTAACCCTTGGCCTCGGGCAGTGGAGGGTTAGCTGTGGACATACAGGAAGGGAAAAGAGAGAGAGACCGTTCATTACAGCCACAGGGACACTCTATTATTACAGAGCTCTCTAGAACACTTGATTTTGATTAGTTACTTGCGGCATTCAGTGTTCAGCTATTTCCTAATATCCTCCATCATTCGTGGCAATGCTAAATATTAGCCCGGTCAATTGGGTAACCGAAACCGCGGGAGCTATGGTTCCGCAGACTTCAGTTCCAACACTGCTCCAACACACCTTCTTGTAATTGAGTAACCCTGAACACCTTGATTAGTTCAGGTTCAGGTGTGTTTGATTGGGGTTGGAGCTGAAATCTGCAGGATGGTAGCTCATCAGGACCAGGGTTTAAGACACCTGTTGGTTCCTAACACTGGTTCTAGAGCAACCCAACAGTGCACATTTTGAACGTCTCTCTTTGACACATCCATTTCAGGTCTTGGAGTCTTTACTAACAAGGTGATGAGGAGATTTAGGTAAGCTTGATTAGGGAAACATACAATGTGCCAAGTTGGGGATACTCCAGGACCAGGGTTGGGAACCTTTGCTGTAATGTACATCACAATACTTAAGAAATGGTCCATTCCTACTTCTGTTATAGGGCTGCACGATTAATCTAATGTGATTGTCATGCGCATCTCATCAGTAAAGCCGGTTCTGTGATTAGTAGTAAATCTCCATCACGTGCTTTCAGATGGAGCAGCATTTACTACACAGAGCCGTAGTTCACTGACAAGCTACGCAAAACCGTGTTCATAATCGCAGACCAATTTAATCACGCGATTATGAAATCGAAGAAATCGTTCTATGATTATGAAAGCAGCTTGCGTAGCTTGTCGGTGAACTACTGCTCTGTGTAGTAAATGGTGCTCCACCTGAAAGCACGTGAAAATACTACATTTAATAACATGTTTTTGCTCCAAACTTAATTCATAACCTCAGTCGAGTGTTTGAAATAAATCCTTCTGTGAGATGATGTGGCTTCTTACACAGAATAAGGCATGCAACATATTTCATAGTATTCTAAGCAGTGATAAAGTCTATGTCGATTAGCATTGCATTAATATATACTTTATTACAATGAAAAGTATAATAAGACGAACTCAGATAAACCATATATTGTCGTAGTCGTGTATTTATTAGTCACGTTGAATCAATGAAAGCAGTTAAATCTTCTGTTTATTTAGCTACCGCTATAGGGATTTCTTCTGCGGGGCGTATTTGGAGTTTCCGCGTGAGAGCGCCCTCTGGTCTTCAGATGGAGATTTACTACTGATCACAGAACCATGCTTCACTGACAAGATGCGCATGACTATCACAGCCTTTACCTAATCGCAATTAATTTTGATTAATCGTGTAGCCCTATTCTCTTACATTGCGATATTAGTATTATAATATTGTTATTGCGTTCATCTTTTTGTTAAGCCATTTGTTTCTACACTGTGATGCTTTTTTAAATTTTCCTTAGCTTTAAGATAATATGGAGGTAAAAATTATAATTTGAACATCAATATTTCATGTCCATGTTTTTACTGTGTTTATTTAGTCAGAAACCATTTAATTAACTCCATGTTGTGGTCGTCCATCACCTTGTCAAGGCTTAATTTGCAATAATGACCAGCTGACTGCTTATTATCCCTTTCTTAAAAACCTTAAACCATTTAAGTAATTGTTCTTATTATGAAAGTTAATTTACAAGTATTCATTACTGTAATGTCAATACTGCAGCTTCTTTCACACCAGTAATGATAATATTCAGTTCTGAGCTGACGAGAAATACTAAGAGGAGAAGAAACTTGAAAGAAACCCCAAAATCAATATTTCTTTGCCAAATTGATTTCTCTCCTGACGAGATTAGATATCCCACTGAGAAACTGCTTCACGGCACAGTACAGTCACTTGAGTAAGCAGGATATGAACCACAAAAAAGACACTCAGCCTTGCAATATATGTATAGTATGTACTGCCGCAGAACGGACAAACTTGTACTGTAAGCTTGTGCTAACTCACTTTGCTTATCAAACGGTCGCAAAACACATCTGGCTGACACAGAGCGATCAGAACGAATATGTTGCACATTTTCCATGAGCCGTGACCATTGAGTGAACCTCGCTTCCTGGCTATTTATTCCTGGCAGAGAGTAGCGTGGTGGGTGGAACAGTGTGGTATAGTTTCTTCTGATTTATGTCTCTTGGATAGGGGACAGTAACTGCGAGAGAGCACGGCTGCAGGCTGAGCGCAAATGCTCAACAAAACAACACCTGTGACAAAGCCGTGTACAGCTTAGGCCCGATCCACTGCAACCCGCAGGTGCAGGAAATGAGATGATGACAAAGTACAGCAGGGAATTATGGATGGCGACCTCTGCTCAAACATCTGTTTTTAGAAATGTTGCGTGGAAGGAGGACACATTGGGGATCCGTAACATCATTTATCTGAGACCTTCTGAGCTTTGGCCAACATTTTATGTTTCCTTTTTTCTGTTTATTAACAAGATCATTGCATGACTTGTCAGCATGTTTTTCCATTATGTCTTGGACATGCTTTCATTGCCCTACGTATAATATGACTGCTGCATGGGCCACTAGAGTCTGTAACTAAGCCAACTGAAGGAATCCAGATTGGGTTAACCTTTGCGTTTCATTTTTCATGTCGAAAGTGGTTTGCGCAGTCGACTGAGTAACCAGGATGCACCCGCTGCGTGGAGAAATGGGAAACGCAGTATGTACTACGCTAGCATGCACGCTGGCCTTTTCTGAATTTATACCTCAACAAAATTCGCCAGGTCTCTTTAACCCGCACACAATCAAAATAGGGATTATGGGTAAAATAATCAAGAATATGGACTTTGGCATATGTAACTCTGCATATAAAACTGGCAAAAAACGAAATGTGAGCTGAAATTATATAAGCACAAAGAAATTTGATGACAGGCACAAGTTTAAGTTTGTTTAATATAATGACCTATTTAAAAACTCATCTAAGCAATGAGCTCCCTCTGTGCCTAAAAGAAAATTAAAATACTATATTTACAGCACATAAACGGGGTAAAGGATTTAATGTGGTTTAATGAGGTATTAATGTCTGTTTAAAGAAGCAAAGGCAGATTATACAAACATATATTCCAGCGCACACTGTGAATACTTTGATAAATGAGCATGTAAGCAACAGCGCAGCTCAGGTAACAGCGCGTCCTAACCGGCAACAAAACAATAAAAGCTCTTTCGAGTTCATCTGAGCTCCTGTTCGAACTAGCTGCGACAAGCGGTGAACGGCGCTACATTTTGTCAGTCGCTCGGTTTCTATTTCTGCACCATAACGTTGGATTATTAAACATCAAACATGGATGAGCCTAGGAGAGGTTGTTTTTAGAAGCTGAGAAACATCGGATATGACAAATCCCTCAAGATCAACAAGGAACACCACAAATTGGATGCCGCCTCATGGAAGTTCTGAAAATACAAGAAGTGTTCTAGGTTTTACGCTCTTAAATTCGCCCTCGCTGTTATGATTAGCTGTTTTGTTGCATTGAATTTTCACATTCAGGAAAATGGCTTCTCACTGAAATCTTGTTGTGCTTGACACAACGGACACATTATTTCTAGATTGTTTTTATTTTTCTGCTGTAAAATGTGCCTGCTTGGCTGAATTTGTGAGAAATTACGCCATTTGGTATTTTAACACTAGTTTTATAAGTGCATTTGGTAAAATGTCAAACCTAAGGATTGTTTCACCCCAAAATTATTGTGAACAGACACTACACAGAAAATGGATTTGCGTTCTTTTAACTTGTACTGTAGTCAAATAATCTTTCATGGAGTGGTTTCAAACAGAATGATGGAAAAATGGCAAACACCTTTGGAGGAAAAGAACAAGTGGACAGTAATAATATAAAAGAAAGATGACTAACCTAACCCACCTGAACTTGGGTCGCAAGGGTCAATGTCCTCATCGTCGCTGGGACATTCTGCCGACGCTACCAGAAGATCATCCTGTACCAGAGACACAGAAGAGATGAAGGGTTAGTCAAAAACACCTAGTGGCATCATTACAGTTTTATATGGCTGCTGTGTCATCTAAGGCCTCACGCTGCGAAAGAGAGAGAGAGTAGCGAAAAAGGAAATGTCCTTTCCACTGCCACTCTGACCTCTCTCACAGGTCCTCTGAGCTTTGACTCACAGGCGTGATCAAAGGTGTCCTAACCGTCAAAGGTCACAACATTTCCACAAAAACGACTGTGTCTGTGGATTATAACACACCAAATCGCCTTATAGTACAGTCTGGAGAGACTTCCACATCAAGGTGGAAAAATTGATCGGAGCAGCACAAACACATACACGCACATACACAAAGATTTCACAAATCCTTTGACGAATACAATTTAGCCGGCGGTTGCTTTATAAAGACAGTCACGCAGGAACATGTGGTGTGAGGAGCATCAAAGCCCCTCACATCCCTCTGTCCCACTGGAAAACAATCTCATCAAACGTGCCTTTTAATCTGAAATAAAACCATAGGAAGCAAATCTAAAGACAAGCCCTATCAATGACAACACACGGCGCTGAGATGCGCACAACATACTGAAGGAAATCTTGCCTCTGCTCCAGTGATGGTTCCGAAGGGAAAGAAATCCATGTTGAGATTTCACGGTTTGAATTCCAAAGATGGTATCCGACTGTGGTATAATAGCTCAGAACGTCTCTCCGTGCAGGAGTTCTCCATCAACTATGCAAAAAGGCAGCGAGCTCGACGTTCCTCTCAGTGCTACGGCAGAAAATTCCATCTGACGACGTCGCTTTGGTGGCATCCATTTAGTGCCAGTCTTCACACTTCTCTCTCTCTCTGCAATTAGCCAGAGTGTGTATGCATTTGCCAGCTGGCCAAACGTGTACATGCATGTGTGTTTGTCCCAATAGAAATGCAGGACTGGCTGAGTGTGTGTGTGTGCAGGGAGGAAAGACATCGATTTGTCTCTCTGAGCTCACACAGTCTGCCCACAGGCTGCGGGGCAATGCCCACGCCAATCAGGACCTTTCACCATCATCCCAGCCACGCGGACCACACGAAACAACACGGGAAGAGAAAGAGATGGAGAAAAAAGGGAGAGCAAAGTGGGAGTGGGAGGGCACCCTGCACGCTTTTTTCAAAGTGGTTGCTATAACCACATGGTTGTCATTTTCCTTGCAGCAATATCTGTTCAACTCCCAGCTCTCAAACACCCTGCAAGTAGGTCAGTGCGGGTGAATAATTTAGATCCCTGACGTTACAGTGCTGGTTTGTGTGCTGCTGGAAGGCTGGGAGACATGGAGGTAATGTGTTGCAGCAGGAGTGCACAACAGAACCCTCGCTAAAGGCTGGCAGCGGCATGTGTCTGCCTGACTCGAGAGAGAGACAGAATAATAACACAGAGGTCCTGGGAGCCACGGGCTGATGGGTGAAGTCATCCATACCACTCCATCTCTCGCTCTGCGAGCTGACATGGAAGGCATAAAATAAAAGACCACAGCTATCATAGACATTGAGATTAGCAGTCAACCGAAATGTGGTTATGCTTTTGATATAAAACGGATGGGGGAAATGTACACAGTCTTAATAATGCATAGGCTTGAGCGAGAGACAACTTAGGGTGCTTTCACACCTGGCCTGTTGTTTCGGAACCTGGTGCGTTTCCCCCCTTAGCTCTCAATGTTCCTTTTCTTGACATGACCACAGAGAGAAAAAAGGGAGTTCTAGAACAGGGATGAAGGAGTGAGATAAAGGTGTGGGGTAACGGTTAAAGATGTCAGCAGGAAAATGAAAACACAAGTGGAGATCCATGAGGTATCACCATTGTGCTGGAACAACCATTTCAAGTTGCAAGTAGAGCTTGGCAACATATATTGAATTTTCACAACATATACTACTGTTCAAAGTCTTGGGGTTGGAAAGATTTTTAAAAGGAATCCCTTATGCTCACCCAGGCTTCATTAATTTGATCAAAAATCAGGAAAACAATAATACTGTGAATTATTAGTACAATTTAAAACGACTTTTTTATTTTAACATATTTTAAAAGGTAATTTATTCCTTTAGTCTACAGTGTCACATGATCCTTCAGAAATCATACTAATATGCTCAAATAACATTTCTTATTATCAATGTGGAAAACAGTTGCTGCTTTTAAAAAAAAGTTCAAGAGCATTTTTTGAAATAGAAATCTTTAGTAATGCTATTAATGTCTTTACTGTCACTTTTGATCAATTTAATGCATCTTTGCTGAATACGTTTCTTTAAAAAAATTATACTGACCCCAGACTTTTAAAAAGTAGTGTATTCCCAATGATTCTGTTAACAATAATAAATACAATTCTAATTATTTCCTAACTAATATGTCATTAAACTAATTTTGAGATCCTTCCTTGCATTCTTTTGTTTCAGTTCTAACTATCCTTTTCTTTTAATTGATTCACATATTTTTGTCCTCACTCAAAAATGTTCAAGGACATACTCGAGTAGAATTTTTAATATATTAAAAAACATGCCTTGACTATTTTAACTAGATTTTTTATGCTTTGAATTTGTAGATCTTGCATTGAAATGTTTCTAATCTATTTGGTCACACTTAACACTTTGGTTGCAATAATGGTATATATAAAATAGAATATATGGAATGATATAGCCAAATAGATTTACAGCATTTTAATGTATTCATATCTAAAATGAATAAACTGGTATATCTTCCAGCCCTAATTGTATAGAGCAGACAGGAACCTGCTAAATGACTACATGCCATTGTTACTGGCGGCTTTACTTGAACATTCTCCACCCAAACCTTGTTAGGATCTGTATTTGAATTCCTCTCACACAGCTGAGCGCCTGAAACCATCCTTCTCTTTCACTCTCTTTCCTCTTGGAAACACTGCCCCTCAGCAAAGTGTCAAAACTCGAATCTAAGTCCTCAGATGTGGCGTTACACAAGCACTTGAGCGTGAGGCTGTTTTCTGCAGAAAAGTCACGTATGACTAAGACCGAGCCTTCAGCATCCATCTGCCTGAGATCGCCGTTCTCCTCCATCCACTGCCCACTCAACAGCTGTGCTGAGGCGGATGAAGGGGACAGAAGCGGCCTACATTATAACTATCCATTTTCCTCCTGCTGAATAACTACGGTGGAGCATGTTAGAGACAGTGGGTGTGCTATCATAATATAATTTACGCGCACACACACAGACACCACATGCACAGTATTAGACTCCGTTTTGCTTGCTCTTAATTACTGCACTGCCAACAGGCACAATAAGGGATGTGACACAGAGCCAAAATGGGCGGGAGAGCAGAGGGAGAGAGAGAGACGACGGCGCTCGGTTCACCTGTGAACGCAGAGGGGGAACCAGCTGTGCCCTAATGAGAAAGGAGTTACCTCAACACACACGCTCTCACAAAACACACACTTTTCAAGCACCACCTCCATTCAGCCCATTCCAATTACCTCACAGCTGCCAGACTCATCTACAGAGACACAGATTAAAAGTAGGACCTGACTGAACCAACTGTACATGCCCTGGATAAGACAGGAGCAGGAAGTGGGTGGATCTAAACCACTGACCCCTCCAACCCTAAACCGTTTTACCTTGTGTAAGCAGATGTTATGTTATTACCTTAGGTAAGGGTATGATATATTGTTCCAGTAACACTCATATTCGGCTCTCACTCTTAATTTTGTAGTCTGCATGTAAGTACTGACCCTCAAAACTCTCTAATGGTTCCCTCAATTCCATCTAAAATATATCACATTTCTCAAGCCCTTGTTCTGTAATCATTTGCACTCAAAAAACAATATCAATTTTATAGGCGGTCTGAGATGGCCAGGCTCAGACGCTCAAATTCACCTCCATCTCTCCATCTCTATCTCTTTCAGTCATGAAGATGCTAGTATTCCACCATGAATACGAATATCTCAGAACAGTGCACCGTCTGTTGTTGTTGCCATGGTGACATGAAGATTCAGCCTGTTCAAAATGATAGGAAATAAAAACCAAATCGCCTCGGTGGCTCAGCTGGGACCTGCTAAGCAAACCATTGATTTCTCGCTATCTGATTTTTCTTTTTCTCCATATTCCTTTCCTCCAGCCAGTATGAGAGAAAGAACGAGTGAGAGAAAGCACAAGAACATCAAAGCCTGCCAGCTAACTTAGCAGCACTGTTAATGAAGTGTGAATATTCATAGAGAGGTCCTGGTGCTAAATGCAGCCTCAGTTCGCTGAGAGCTGTGTGTTTAAAATACCGAGAGCTCATACAATGAATAAAAAATGGCCACTGATGCACTGCAGTATTCTCTAACAAGAACAGTTGAAAAAAGAAAAAAATAATCGCAGGAAACACAATGGCGATACGCCTGCTAGTATAACGCTAGCATGTACAGGAATATACAGAGCTGGCCCACAGGGCCTCTATATGCGCTCACTGACATCCTGTACATGAGTTTCAACTTATGAAAGATTTAAAAGCGCAAAAAAAACAAAAAACATGCAATGTGAGAGCGCAGGTTGAATCTCTCAGTTTTTCATCTCCTAATGCCGTACTGAGATGAGTAATAGAGAATCTGGACCTTTCATAGAAGATGGAAATTAAGATGGCTTCCTGTGCAAGTCTTCACAAATCAAATCTAGAATCATTCTCATTTGGGTATATTATTTTAGCACATTCAAAAGCTTTACAATGCCTTGGTTATTTTTAGGGCTGGGTATCGATTCAGATGTCCCGATTCGATTCGATTTCGATTCGCAAGCTCTCGGTTCGATTCGATTCGCAAACTCTCGATTCGATTCGATTCTCGATGTTTTTGATTACATTCAGTGAATATAGTTTTAATACAAATGCTATTGATATTTCTAAAAAATGAACAGTAAACATCAGTTTACAAATGGTGAATTAATTCTGTTGTAACATCGCGCAAGGTAAATAAGGGTGACATCTAGTGGATAAGACTAACGATAAGATTCACGTTAATCAGA